CACACACACACACTGACATAAGCCTCTGCTCTCAGTCCTGATAAGTTTTATTGGTTTGGATGACAGGCACATGGTGTCTACACGTGCAGAAATGTTGATTCTGACAGCTGAGGATGCGAGAGGTTGAGAAACACGCGGCAGGCGAGCAGTGTGCAGCTTCTTCTTCTTTCGGCTGCTCCCTTCTTCAGGGGTCACCACAGAGAACTAAGTATGAAGACTTGGCGATTGTTTTTACGCTGGATGCCGTTCCTGAGGCAACCACAGACCACCGAGCTGCCACAGCACTGCCCCGGGGGAGCAGATGGTGGGGGTTAAGGGCCTTACTCGAGGGCCCAGAGTGAAGCAAATGAGGGTGGAGGCAGGTGTGGGTGCTTCACCTATCCCAGTGTTTTTCAAAGTGGCGGCCGCCAGGGGGGCGCTAGGGAACCCCAGAAAGCTGGAGAGAAGATTTTTAAAAAGCAAAAATAAAAAATTGTAATAATAGTAATAATTGCCCACTAGTGCAATCTGTATCTGTCATTTCCAGATAAACACACTTGATAGAGAAGTTAGATTTATTTTGTTTTGTTCTTCTGGTCAACAGTTTGTTGAAAAGTGTGGGTTTTCTTTCAGTGGGACTTTAATACAGTGTTTAAAACATGTTAATTAATAACATTGTTATGCTCAGCAGCTGTAATAATTAATTGAATATAGTGAATAAAAGTTAAAACGTTGTTTCTTTACATATTTTGTAGAACTGTGTGTGGGTTTGCGAGGGGGGCCTTGGCTAGGGGGAAGGGGGGGTCATGGCATGGAAAAGTTTGGGAACCCCATCACCACTCACTCCCACAGTGTGCAGATATCAGATTTAAACCCTGTTTCTGAGTTGATTTTTCCTTATTTTAATGTATTTTTATGTTGTTGCTGTTTTTGCATCAAGTGAAACAAAATGACAGGAAAAGGAACGCGTCCTGTATTTTTAAAAATAATGTTAAACTGTTCCTGCACTGATTAAAAAACAATGATTTAGTTGTAACATCATTACAGTATTATGCCCTAAATTTAAAACAAATTATGGCCACTTATAGCTCTATTAGAATTGTGTTTTCTTATAATAACACACATTGCTTTCATAAAATGAAACCTGTTAAAAGCCCTACAGCATTTTTTTTTCACATCATCCCTTTTGACATTTAATGGTTCTGATGCTGCTCCACACCCTGTAGGGATGTTTGCATCCTTTCCTCCTCCCTCTGTGGATTTGCCAAACTCCGCCTCCTTCAGGCGAGTGAGTCCTATAAAAGGAACTCCATCCGTGGCCTAAACGAGCAGCAAGCAGCAGATCTGAGATCAGATCAGCAGACTCGGTCCACAACCTGGAGGAGAGAGCAACATGACTGCAGACCAGCGTTTTGTACTCAGCGCCCGCATCATTGGAGGAGTCCGCAGGGACAAGCCAAAACTCAAGGTGAGCGCTTAACTTCCACATTCATATTTATTATCTTTATATTTTCATATTTAATAAAAAAAAAAAAGACATCTGCAATCATTTTTTTTTTTGAACCCCTGCAGGTGTTCATGGTGTCTGTCCTGTGGTCTGATGAAGCTGAGGTGATCATCTACCGATCATTCCTAGACTTCAGGAAGTTTCATGTAAGAAAATATCAAATAAAACCTAATGAATCATCAGGCTTGTTTAAATTAGTTTTAGTAATACAAGTCCTAATCTGCCTTATTTATTTAACAGAGACAACTAAAAAAGAAGTTCCCTAATTTCAATCCGTTCCGTAAAAATGACAGAATGATCCCAAAATTCACTGGTAAGATGATTCTATATGGTTAATGCAGACTGCAAATGGCTTCATACATTCAAAATTATGTTAAAGGGATTTTCTGGAAATGAGACCGTCTGTTGAACCGGTTCCTTGTTCCCTCTCCAGGAAAAGCCAGAAGGAGCAGCATCCAGCACAAAGGATCCAAGAAGTCCGTCAGGCAGATGACGTTCCTGGAAAAGTACTGCACCAAACTACTCAACTGTGAGCCCAACGTGACGCAGAGTTCAGAGGTCATGCGCTTTTTCACATCCAGAGACCAAGACCTGCAGCCGGACTTCACCAAGAACTCGTGAGTTTCACCGTTCAGCTCTGCTCAGTGCTCTTCAGTGGTTTTTTTTGTTTTTAAATACCTTCTTGTCTCAAACATAGTGTCATGATCATGATGTCTGATGAGCTGAGGAATGAAGAATATGGGGACGGTGGTGCTCACCATTCCATGGGAATCGTCACCCACCCATTTGTCACCCAGACGTACCGCTGCGTTGCACCTTATGAGACCAAGGACACCAAAAACAGGCCATTTAAGGTCACTGCGGACGAGAAGCTGGACGTCCTGATCAAAGATCCTGCAGGTCAGCTCAACTTTACCAGCTTCTTGCTCAAAATACAAAATGCACATTACAAGTCACAGCATCATTTGATCTGAATGAACCAAACACCAGCCGTGCAGACTTTTGTCCCCCTTCATGCTCAGTCCCTGGTGTTTCTTTGTTCAGGTTGGTGGCTTGTAGAGAATGAGAGCAAGAAGCTGGCTTGGTTTCCTGCTCCCTACCTGGAGGCTGTGGATGGAGAGGAGGAGGATGACGATAACTACGTGGGAGGTATGATATTCCTTTTGTGGTCACAGTTAATCTTTAACTTGCATTATACAGGGTGAATTATGAGTGATAAAACTGAATAAAGTCAGATAATTTCAAACATTAGCGCTGAGCTCAGTCAACTTGTGTCAGTTTCCTTCCTTGAAGACTCAGTTTTGTCTCTCATTATCACTAATCGCTGTAGAACTGCCTAAAAATGATGTTAAGCATGCTGCTCGTTCAGGTTCTTTGTACTGCGCTGTGAAGAGTTTCTCTACCAAGAAGGTGGATGAGGTGTCTGTATCCATTGGCTCAGTGGTGGAGGTGCTGAGGAAGTCTGAGGACGGCTGGTGGCTCGTCAGGTATCTATCTCATCCATATTCAAAGTTTTTATGAACGTGTTTGTTTTGTCTTTGGTTACAAATGCCACAAACAGTTCATTGGCTATTTAGAACACATTTTCTGCATGTTCATAACCTGACTTTGTACACTGAGTATGTTTAACAAACATTTTCCTGCAATCTCCCCTCAGGTTCAATGGCAAAGTTGGATACATCCCATCTATGAATCTGCAGCCATACAACAACCCCCGGGCGGGTCTTCATGGCCTGCACAGGAAGATTCACAGTTCCTCCCTGAGCCTGGCATCCATGAGAGAGCCTCAGGCTTCTTCTCCACCAAGAATCATTGAAGAAAACAGCTCCCAGCAGGACTCTGTGGCTCCACCCAGACAGAAGCCCACCGTCCCAGCTCGTTTCCAAAGAGCCCAGTCCCTGGATGTTCTCTCTGACTCTTGGCTGGAGACAGCTACAAAGAGGGATGCCTCCTCTTCAGGCAGAACCAACTGGATTAGCTCCAGTCTTTCTTCCAGCATTGACTCTGACTCGAGTTTTGAAGTGGAGCCACAGAGCCCCTCAGACCATCTCGTCCCCCCTCAACGGTCCAACGTCAGTCCCAGTTCAGACAGCAGTCCCGACCTCAATCTCTCTGAACGTCGCAGCTCCAACACCAGCACCGACTCCAGCATCAGCACCGACTCCAGCTTCAGCTCCGACTCTAGCTTCAGTACCGACTCCAGCTTCAGCACAGGCTCCAGCATCAGCACCGACTCCAACACCCGTTCTGAGAGCCCAGAATCTGCCAGGTCCACCAAGGGTGAGACGGCCCCAGGCCCTCCAAGAGTTCCTCCCAGACCCAAGACCCAAGAGATCCTGACTCGCTGCACCTCCATGACACGCAAGGCCGCCATGATCAACAAGACCCTCCTTTCGAATCGGCCCGAGCCCATGCACAGCCGTTAGGGGAACCAGAACCAGTGCTGTTCAGTGAATAGTTTGCTTAACAAAATCTAAACCAGTCAGTCCACATCGTTAATCTTTGTTTAATCTTAGATTTATGTCTGAGCAAGACCAGCATGGACAAAATACAAACAGTGATACCAACTGAGGTTCATTTTTCATGAGCCTCGGCATCTTAAGTTTACACATTGAAAACGTAGCTTCTGTGAAGCATTAAAATGTGATCAAGGAAGTGCCTGTGATTCTCATATTTTAGTAGCAAATGCATATTTTTTAAATCTAGATGAAGGGAGCTTTAATGGGAAGATGGGACTTAAAGATGTTATAAATACATGTACTTTACAGCTTATCTTCCTTTCATTAATTTAAACATTTTTTTAAGGAAACATGATACACATATGAATTTCATACATTTTCATTTGCTTGCCATTTACAGTACCTTTACATTATAATGTGCTAGACTTTACAGTACATTTTACAATTGTATTCTGTATTCCAAGAGTTTCTTTTGGTGGTAAACAAGCTGCTGTCATACAAGTAAAAACTATTGACCTCTGTTTTACTTTGAATATGTTATGAAACCTTTGACTGTGTTCTGCATTGTAACTTGTGTGCATTTGAGCTGTGTCTTACCATGAAATGCAGTCAGTCCAATAAACTTTCATCTAAGCCGAAGTGTTTCATGTGGTATATATTTTGGCGCAGACATGATTTATGATAAATAACATTTTAAAGGGAATGGTTTTAAGACCCTAAGCCTTCTGTTCCGGCATTTGCTTGACAAAAAAGCAATGTGTAAAAATTTAAACTTTAATAGCTTGTTGTTTAATTCATGAAAATAGTCTTACATAGTTAGTATTTATTTCATCTCAGTTTTCTAAAATTGTAAAATTTCTAAAGTGCTGTACCTCAGTCATAGATAATCCACCAATTATATATATATATATATGTGTGTGTGTGTGTGTGTGTGTGTGTGTGTGTATAAGTACTTTTTCAACACTAGTGAAGTTTAAATCTGAAGGACTGGAGCAGTTTGACAGTAGGGACGTCATAGTCACCGCAGTTTCTGAACAGTATGTGGCAACATTGCTCATTACTAAATGCTTTTCATTTATTTGGGGAAAAAAATTAAAAATGGCAAAGATCATAAACAGTATTCACAGTTAAAACTCAATTAAACAAGTTTTCTTGTCACTAAAACAACTCTTTGACAATTTATTTTGCGGGTTTGTGTTCAGCACACAAAAAAAACCCTGAATTGACTGAAATTTAAAGGTTTTTTTATCAAAATATTTGATTTGGTTCTTCTTAAAAAAAATGTCTCAGAGAATAAAAGAAAAATGGCGCCTAAAGCTCCGAACTCAAATTTTACATTAGAGTCCAGGGATAGTTGGTCATTTTTGAAGTGATGTTCAGTCAAACAGTTTCCAAAAGTCCAGACTAGGCTAACGGCTAGCCAAACAAGTGACACTTTTTTAAATCGTGTTTCATGCTTTTAAAGCAATTACAGAAGGAAAAAAAAAACTGAAAATCACACTAAAAGAATGTTACATTATGAATATCAAACGCATAACTTAATTTCTTTATTTTGATCTAGAGTCAGCATTTTAATTAAATATAACAGACCCACTCAAGCCCTAGCTAGTGAGTCCTAACTCAGTGGTTCCCAATCCTGGTCCCTGAGGAACACCGTCCTGCATGTTTTAGTTATTCCTCTGCTCCAACATACCTGATGTGAATGAAAGGGTGATTAACAGGCTTCTGCCGAACTTAAGAAAGTAATTAAACCACTGAATCAGGCGTGTTTGAGCAGATGTACAATTAAAACATGTTCCTCAGGGACCACGGTTGGGAACCACTGTCCTAACTGATCAAACCCACTTTAGTGGATGAAAATTGCATAAGAAACCTGTGTTGTTATCGTCATTGTTTCAGTTATAAGGTCACAGTAACTCATAGAAACCTCTTTTGGGAGTCAGAATGTCTATCACTATTTAAAAAAATGCAAAAGAAGCCAAAGTCTTTGGACAATGTTTGTCAGAATCTATCTTTTGTGGTTACTTCGGTTTATTTGTTGTGCTTTTAGTGTTTGCGTTCTGTTTTTGGCTTCCGTGTGTTCCCTGGTCAGTTCACATTTATCCTCAACCGGCTCTCTCTGTGTTCATCATTCAGCCTGCCTCGCCCACTTCACCTGGCGCTCATTTCCCATTAGACTCAGCTGTAGCTCATCTCCCATTTATCCCAGTCTATGTATTTCTACTCCAACCAGTGTCACATCAGTTGTGCATTACGCTGTTCACCCAACTAGACCTGGTTTTCCCTCCTTGCATTTTCCTTTAGAGAGCCCTTTCAGTAGTTTGCTGCCTTGACAGCCTTAATGTTTTGAATTTAATACATTTATATAATTCAAGTTTTTAGTCCTGTCTGAATCTTGGGGTCATCAGTTCTCAGAAAACATTAGTTTAGTTATTTTTTGAATGCGTAAAAAAAAAAAAAAAAACACACACACACACAAAAATACAGCATGAAGCATAATGTCAAAACTTTTTGTTACATATTCAATAGAGTGGGTTGAAGTATAAACTTATCAAAATTCCCACTCTTTAACCACTTATATTACATGTATAATCCATACATATAACAACTAAATCCATATTTAACCCATCAATATAATTTCTATTTAAGTTAACTACAGTAGATAAACAATTTGTTTACCAAAAAAAACAAAAAAACTAGCATCAATAACAAAAACACCAACAATAATGGAAAAATAATGTTGTACATTATATCCAACAATAATCTTATGTTTATATGATAATTTGAACAGTTTAATGTTTGGACATTGTTTAAATTCAATTTTCAAATTATTCCACAGTTTGACTCCTCTTACTGATACACAAAAGGTTTTCCTAGTAGTTCTGAATTTGCATATTTTAAACTATGATTCCCCTTAACTTATAAATTTTCTCCTTAATCTTAAACAGATTTTGAATGTTTTCCAGTAATTGTTTATTTTTGGCTTTGTAAAGAATTAGAGCTGTCTGTAGTTTCACTATGTCAATGAACTTTAATAATTTAGATTTTACAAATTGTGTATTAGGGTTTCTAAATATCTCACCTTATGAATTATTCTTATTGATCTTTTTGTAGCATTGTTAATGCCTGTAGTGTAGTTTTGTAATTATTGCCCCAGATTTCTGTACAATAACTTAAATAAGGTAAGATTAGTGAACAGTAGAGTAAATGTAATGCCTTTTGCTCTATGACCGACTTGGCTTTGCATAAGATGGTGATATTTCTTGAGACTTTACTTTGAACATATCTGATGTGTGGTTTCCAGTTGAGTTTATCATCAATAATGACACCTAGAAATTTGTTTTCATAAATTCTTTCCATATTCAGCCCATTTATTTGTATTTGAATTTCTGTATGTGATTGACAGTTCCCAAAGAGCATTATTTTTGTTTTGTTTAGGTTCAAGGACAGCTTATTTTCATCAAAACACATTTTAAGTTTGTTAATTTCAGTTACGTCATTTAACAGTTGTTCCATGTCATCTCCAACACAAAAAAAATTTGTATAATCGGCAAATAGTATGATTTACATTATCTCAGGTACAATACATAGATCATTTACATAATCACAAACAGTTTGGGACCCAGAACTGACCCCTGAGGAACCCCACAAACAATGTCCAAACACCCAGAACAAGCATCTCCCAACTTCACATACTGCTGTCTACCTTTCAGATAACTTTGAATCCAGTCCTACTCCCCTTATCCAATAGCGTTCAAGTTTATTCATTAATAAATTATGATTGACTGTGTCAAACATGCCAACGTTGTGTTAGGTATGTCCAATTACCACCTTAGAGAAACATAATTATAATTGGCGCTCATTTCAGAAAATAATTTAGATGACACGAATGACTGAAACATTGTTGAATTGTATTGTAAAATACCCACAACACTAATAAACACCTTGTCATTTCAAGCATTTAAACCAACAGCTGCAAGATTTTAAGGGTTTTGTATGCAACCTTTTAGCAAAACTAAAATAAAATAGAGCTGTATCGCTTTGTACTGTCTGATCTGTTCGCTCATCAGTCCTACCAGACAAAAAAACTTCCTTCTGAGGTGGTTCAAGGGGCTATACAGGTATGAAAATAAATTTTAGTAACAACAAAAAAGGTTGAGTCATGTCATCTGGACTTCGTTTTTTTGTTA